TTTTTTTTTTTTTTTTTTTTTTTTTTTTTTTTTTTTTAATTTATTAACCGCGGTTAATAACGATCGAGAATCGGAAGGGGAGGAGAAAATTGATACCGGTTTGAAGAAGAAGAAATCAAGTCTGGTTTCTAACCTTCGCTACGAGCGTACGAAAGGTGAGATACTCCTTCAAGGCCACCCCACGTAGGATCGTTTTCATCTCCGGAATGCCGGATCCTATGCTCTGCGGTGCAACGATGTGCACGAAGCCGGCGCTGAAGAGGATCAGGCAAACCGGCAAGGACACCCAGGCGAGATATTGAAGCGCCGGATGGTGCGTCAGATCCTGATAAAGCCATATCCTGGCTGGTGGAACAAGCGATACGGTTAACTCAAGGATCTCGTCTTGTCCCCCGCGCGAAATAGATCGAAATGGATTACGAGCGTTTGGATTAATGGCGTGGAAAATTGCAAAACCTTGGAACGAAGATTGAATTTTGAGAAGGATAGAGGGAGGAGAAGAAGAAAAGATCAACTTCGACGCGAAAAATTATCATTACAACTATGGAGAGAGAGAAAAAAAAAAAAAAAAAAAAAAAAAAAAAAAAAGAAAGAAAAGAATGGGAAAAATTAATTGGAAATAAATATTCTTTCTTTATTCTATATATTAGGAAATTAGAAATTATGGATTATCAAACTGACCGTTGTTACACATAGAAATGCCACGGTCCATGGCATAACTGATGAGCGCCATAATTATTCCAAGGAGGGCCAAGAACACCCAATCCTCCCCTAACCTAGCTCCCGTGTGCTTCCACGCGAAAGCCAATAACGCGATCAACTTCCTGCAAAGGGGTCCTCTTCTCGACTTCCGCAGATCCTCCTCCCTGCTGTCGTATTTCCGCCGTGTTTTCTCGTACTTGAGCTTCCGTGCCTCTTCTTTTGCGTATTCACCCAGATCCTTCGTGTAGCGACCATACATCTAAACGCAGCACCATTTTTTATCGACTATTCTTCCCCGCCTTTCGCATTTTTTTTTTTTTTTTAACGCGAACATTCGGAGAAAACACGATATATATATTCTTTTTTTTTGATATGAAACAAAATTTATCAAGTGAGACACGTATCGAATATTGCATCAATAACAATTTTAGATTATCGTCAATTATCGATCGAACGAATTACGCGCCAGAATTAATTTTCTGGATATTTCCAAATCGTTGAAGATGTTCGTCTATTCGAGGAAATTTCTTCCTTGGAAATTGATTTCACGATCGATCCGAATTGTTTAAACGAATTCGATTAACGAAATGATCCGATTGTCCTTGATCGATCGTTTCTCTCCGAAATCACTGTTTTCGATTTTCATCTAATCAATCGATTTCGCATACCATTTTCTAACGAGTTCAGACAAAACCGAGAAATCGATCTCGTTCGTGATTTATCTGACCACGTTAGAACCACCGTTCTTTACGTGCATTATCATGCAATCGCAGCAAAAATCTCTCACTCTGCTCACTCGTGGATTAATAAAATTGCAAATTTCGTGCGCAAGCTGATTTTTCGTTTAGAAATAAAAAAAAAGAAAAAAGGACGATCGCTCGAGTGTCACAGAAAAATTATGAAAAACGACTTTCGAAAGTCGTATTATCAATATGCACGAAAAGAAAAATAAATATTCATCGTTGATAATTGTTGCACGTGAACAACACGATTACTAACAATAATAATAAATATCAGAGATAACGGAATTATGCGAAATTTTAATTAGAACA